AGAAGGCGCGCAGGGAGCGGGCGAGCAGCATCGTGCGGAGCGGCGGAGGGCGAGCACTGCCCGCCCCGGAACCGCGCTGCGCTTCCGGCCCCGGCGGGCCCCGCGCGGACCCGCCGCCGCGGGTTCGAGTCCCGGCCCCGGTGAGACCCGGTTCGAGTCCCGGCCCTGGCAGGACTGGGTGTGCCTGCGGGATGTCTGGTTCCTGGGATCCCTGACAATGGAATGGGCAGGGATGGCACGGACACAGCACCCGTGCAAGTCCCTTCTCGGGTGAACTCACAAAAAGAGCTTTAGGGATATGGGAGACATGCACATGTCAGAACTGCCACTGTTCAGCCAGAGCGTGGCGGTCTCCTCAGAAAAAGAAAAAATGAATGGTTGGGGGTTTTTTTTGTGTATTTTAGAGGAGAGAATGACTAAGGTAGCGTTTCCTGGCACCAAGCCTTCCCTTTGTCCAAAAGCTGGCACTAGTGCCCACTGTGGAGGAGAAGCACAGAAGGCTCATTTGCTGCTCACTGCAAGGCAGGAGAAGGAGAGCATCTGTCCCATCTCCATCAAATGGATACCATCCCATCAAAGGACCAGAATTGTAACTCTCAATTATAACAGGAGTCTGAGCACTGCACATGTAAATGGCAGAATCCATTCTGCACAAGCACAGATGCACTCTGCTACCTTCACATCTTAAGCCCAGACTGCTGACAACAAACACACTCCCACGAGACCCATAAACACCAGGACTGCTCCTACCACCGTTTGTTCTGTGCCTCACAAACCAACACGCAGGATTCGCGTTTTCACCACCACTTTTTTATTCCGCAAAAAAAAATATAAACCCGATCTCAATAAATACCCATCCCGTTGCTTAAGGTTATAAAAAAACAGTTATTTTTAAAAAATTTAATGAATATAGAGGTCGTTCAAGGCGACCAGGCACTGCACATGTAAATGGCAGAGTCCATTCTGCACAAGCACAGATTCACTGTGCTACCTTCACATCTTTAAGCCCAGACTGCTGACAATGAACACACTCCCACGAGACCCATAAACACCAGGACTGCTCCTAGCATCATTTGCTCTGTGCCTCACAAACCAACACGCAGGATTCACGTTTTCACCATCACTTCTTTATTCCGCAAAAAACATATAAACCCGATCTCAATAAATACCCATCCCGTTGCTTAAGGTTATAAAAAAACAGTTATTTTTAAAAAATTTAATGAATATAGAGGTCGTTCAAGGCGACCAGCCAGCTGTCCCACGTGGCTCAGCCGCTGGCCGCGCGGAGTTTCCTGCGGAAGAAGTCGGGCGCGGCCTCGTGCAGCCACCGCGCGTCCACCAGGCACAGGTCGCGCATGTAGCAGCGGTTGGTGCGCAGCAGGGCGTTGTACACCACGCAGGCGGGCTTGCACTGGAACAGCACGGACGAGGGGTGGATGGCCACCACCTGGTGGGAGCCCACCGTGCTGTAGGAGCCGTCCGGCCGCAGCTCGGCCGCGTTCATGAACAGGCTGTGCGCCAGGCAGCGCCGCACGCCGGCCGTGTCCCCGCGGCACGACTCCAGGGGCATCGACAGCTGGGGACACAAGGGTGAGCAAGAACGACCTGCACCCATACTGTGGGGGCAGCTCTCTGGTCAGAGAAAGCTAGATAAGCTTTCCCATGAGTCAGCTTCTCCCAGGAGAAGCTTTAGGGAGGTGGAGAGAAAGAATTCTAAACAATCTGCACCTGGTGTTTTGTAATGAGCTGTTCTGCCTGTGAGGTTGTTTACAAATGGGTGTCTTGTTAATTAGCCAGTCATGTGAAATGTATTGATTAAATGACCACTCAGGTCCACCTATATCGACCAGTGTATAAAATAAACTATTTCAGTGAAGTTGGGGCTTCTAGCCTATTAGCCTTCTGACCCAGAGTCTGTGTCACTCGTTACCCAGTCCTGACCCTCACAGTGACACCGTTTCACTTCAGAAATCCTGGAGGGTTTTCCTGTGTTAGAACACTGGTGGACCACTGGGAATGCAGCTCAAGTGGATGCTAGGCTAAGCCAGACTAAGGCCAACAGAAGGGATTGTCACTCTCCTTCTGGAAGGGAGTCTAAGGCCAACCAGCATTCACAAATGATGTCCCAGAGGGTGGCTCCCATGTCACTACACACTGCCAGGGGTTCAGTGGCAGCTCCCACGCTGTGCCCAGCAGGAAGAGCACTGAGGGGAAGCTGCTGCCACACTGAATGCCTGATCCATGGACAAGCCAGCCAGCACAGGCTGACAACACTCTGTGGCACACACAGCACAGTCCCACCTGCATTAGAGCAGGAAAAGCCCTTAGGAAACTTGTCCTTTCCCTGAGAAGTCTTCTCAGAGGTTCCCATTTCTCCTTGACTCACTAAGCCCTGCAGATTTAAGATTTTGGGATGCAAGTGCACAGTCAGGAATTTTATCCAGCTATTTGTAGGAGACTGAAAACAATCCCCCATTTTCTCACTTGGATTTGGTGCACAGTAACATCAGTTTGGGGACAAACAGGAAAATACTAACAGGTGAAACAGAGAAATAGAATATGGAAGTAAGTTACCTTTACACAAATGTCCCTGAGCTGAGCTCTGACTTCTGCCATCAGCTTCATGTTCCTGCCATTGATGAAGTTCTCTCTGCACCATCCCTGCAGCAGGATAGGAGGAGTTAGAAGGGGATTTTTCTTCACCCCATGAGCATGACAGCCTTTGGATACTATGAAAAGCAGAATCCCCCTACAATCTGCCTCAGAGAAAACCTGCTGACCCCTTCCCTGGTCATATTTGTACCCCCCTTAACTCTACTATGTCTAGATTCTCTCTCAACTGCTCAGAAACAGCAGGTGATAGATCTTTTCCCACTCAGAGCTGCTCTGCAAGGCCACCAAGAGCTGCAGAACAGCACTTGATATCCTGTAGGTGGTGAAAACAAATCAGGTAAAAATGACTTCAGGTAAGGTGCTTCAAGGAATGGGGTGCATGAGTCCACAGATCCACAAATCAATATGAGGGCTAGGATAAAGCTAAGTCTGCTTTTAAATATGCTCAATGGTTTTCCAATGAATCCTGTCACAGAGCATGTCCAGATATTTATCAAGTCTCAACACTCTCCCACTCCCTTCTGTTTCCAGCTGGACCCAGGGAAGGAAAAGCCTTGGCTGTGATTACAGAACTGGCCCCACAAAGCTTTGCCAGAGCTGTCTGTAGGAACTTTTGTTACAGAACAAAGCATGGGCCCTCTTTTCTCTCAGCTCTGGAGCATGCCTGTGGCAGCAGCCAAGGAAGATTCAGGTGTCACTCTGCTCTCTGCTAAAATCTCCTCCCCCCATGAGCTCAGGCAGCACTGGCAGCTCAGATCACCCCACCTTGTGCCCGTTGACGTTCTTGTAGGCCCTGTACACGTTGAGCAGGGTGAGATGATCCCCCTCACTGGAGATGAATTTCTTCCTGACAGCCTGCACCTCATCCCGCTGGGCAGGGGGGTTGTGGAGGACACTGTCCACTGACAGCAGTGCCACGATGGTCAGGATCTCCTCTGCACAGTGGAACTTGGGTGACAGGAGGATGGCCTGCACAGACACAACAAAAGCCATCTTTGGTTGACCAAATCCACTTCAGCTGGGCAGATCTTTCTGCTCCCTGGCAGCCCAGAACTCAACCAAACATTTTTAAGGACAATCTCAAACATGTGGGCCCAGGAACAGCTGTAAATCCTCTGATGGGCTCACCAAGCACCTGTAACAGCACCTGCCAGGCTCCTCCCTGAGACTGCCCAGTGCACAACCAGCACAAACAGTGACTGAAACCAACCACAGCAACAGACATCTCACGGACCTGCTAAACAACCCTGAAAACTGCAAGCAAATTTGCTTTGTCCACCTTCAGTAGGTGCCAGAGGAAAAAAACTCTCTTTTAAAAAACTTACTTGAATTTAACAACAAATTACAAGGAATCCAGCAAAAGGGGTGTAAATTATGTACATTAATATACAACAAATATACCAGTACAGCTGCAAACACCCCAGATTTCACACCTTGTTTAAGGAGTGTGAAAGAGAAACATCAATGGTACAGAGATGAGTACATGAGATTAAAAATGTTAATTTTTCTGCAGTTTTTACCTTGGAGAACTTAGGATCTAGTGGAAAGGCTGCCATTTTCTTTCCCAGGGGGGTCAGGACAAGCTGACCCTCCTTTTGGGTCACAGCTCCCAGCAGATCCAGCTGATCAATTGCTGCTTGAATAGCATCTGCCAAAACAAGGACATTGAGGACACTGTGAGGCCTCCTGCCTCCCACTGAGGGATGTGAAGATCAGCTGGTTCCATCACTGCCTCCCTCCCCTGGCCAGAGAGACAAGTACTTTCCATTTACAGAAATCAGGGTCCCAAATGTGGTTTATCCTCCTCTATCCAGGAGAACAAGCACCTTTCCCCATTTACTCCAGTCTCCCTTGGCAGTCAGGGCACACCTTCATGTTGTGTTGTTGTGACACCATATGGCCCAAGGCTGCTCCCTGCTCTTTTCCCCCAAGGCTGCCTTTGTAGCCACTTACCAGGAGATGGTTTGGCCATGAAGTCAAAGGTGAGCACATTGGGAATTTTCAGGGCCAGGAGCTGAAGCACCACACTGGCCAGGTTACACCTGCATAGGCAGAATAAACAGCTGACATAGTTCTCTTCTTTTGTTTTATTCTTTTTTTCATAGAAGCTGAGATAAGAGTCTCAGGCTGTGCTGCAGCTTGACACACAGAAGTCTGATGCTGCTGGTGAAGCCTTACTTCCTAAATCAGGAAGAGGCAAGCCTAAAATCTGGAGGACAGCCAGAACTATTGCTTTATATATTTGGAGACTCAGTGTCCAACTGTCCACCCTGAGCAAACATTTCCCAGTTTTTCTGTTTAGTCCCCACACTCTCATTTTTCCCAAGCCAGCCCCTAGATGTAGTTTTGCTGCTCAGTTCTTCCCACAGCCCCAGCTGCAAAAGAGGTGTGGCAAGGAGTGTGATGGCTGTGTCCTCACCTCTGTATCTCAGGTGTTGTCATTTCCTCAAACTTCTCAAAGTCCTCCTCGGTGTAGAGGCGGTAGCAGACGCCGCTCTCCTGTCTGCCTGCTCTGCCCGTGCGCTGCCAGGCCTGGGCCTTGGACACCTGCTGCACTGCCAGCACCTCCAGGCCAGTTTCTGGGCATGGAAAAGCATCACTCAGTCAGTGCCTGAGGAAGGCACAGCTTGGGAAAACACGGAGGATTAGCAGTAAGAATTCCTGGGGTTTGCCATTCAAATCCGGCTCAGAGCTCACTTGGCTCAGCACTGTGAAGCACAGTGAACTATCCCATGCTGTGTCCATGAAGAGAAGATTCACATTTGACAGATTTTTTACCCCCTCGTGGCTAATACTCAAAAAACCCCACAAAAACACTACCAAACCCCACACCCCAAACCTGGGACATTAATTGAAACAGCATGGAGGGTGCTTGAAATGCTCTTTCAGTGGGGCTTATGGCCTCCAGCAACTTCTGCAAACCCAAACCCAATCTTGGCCCTGTTCCTCTTCAGAATTCCTCACCAGGGCTGTACTTCTTGGCTTTGACCATGCCTGTGTCCACAACGAATTTTATGCCAGCAATGGTGATGGAGGTTTCTGCGATGTTGGTGGAGAGGATCACTTTGCGACAGCCCTGGGAGGAAGCAAAATCAAACCCAGGCCAAGGCCACCTCAGAGCAGCTGCAACACAGAAATTCTGCTGCTTTTGGCCAGTGTGGGCCAAGCCCTGCCCCACACTGTGAGCACAAACTGTGCTTGCTGTGCCAGCTCTCAGGAACTAAGGTAACCTTCAGTTTCTAATCAGTATCTAAAACATTCTTCTGCATTTGCAACAAAATACACCACCAGAACAGCTGTTCTCAATACATCTTTCAACAATTCTGGTTTCACTTCAGGCACATTTGTGTTCTTATTTATCTCTTGAGTAGTAAAAAAGAGCCTGAGGCAGCATGAATTCCTTTCCTTATGGCCCTGACAAACACTCTCAGGTTCTCAGCTTACTCAGTATTTCCATCATTAGCTGTTGTAGCTTTTTTGTGATATGGACAAAAAATTCCTATGAAATGGAAGAAATTTAAATTCCTGTGCCTTCTAATCCTTCTTTTTATGATCCCACATGACTTACTGAACGCATCTGTTAAAACCATCACATTTGCAGTGTATTATATCTCTGGAACCACTCAGCCTAAAGCCAACAGAGACTATTGATTCCTATCAGTACAGACTGCTTTAGCCCCTTAAAGCCCACAGGTTTCATCCAAAGACACATTGAAGCAAAACCCCTCCTGTTCCCTCACCTCAGGGGTAGATTTGAAGGCACGGAGTTGCTGGGAGTGGGGCAGAGAAGCATAAAGGGGCAGCACTGTCATCCGGGGGCAGCCCTCGGGGAGATGCTGGGCAACGTCCCGACAGGTTTTGGTCATTGCTTCAATTTCTTCCTGACCAGTCAGGAACACCAGGATGTCCTGGCACGCAGGGGCTTCCTAGAGGCAGAGGAAAAATAAGTTAGGAGGGTTTGGATGGAAAAGGAGAACTGAGATTGGTAATGAGATGTGGCTCTGGTAGCAAGTCACTGAAGCTGGCTAAGAAAAAAGAGAAGACACACGTATTACAAGGATGCAACAGCCAGAATTCCCAATGGATTCACCAGAGACAAAGAGTAAATCACATTTTGAGGGACTGAGTGTTAAAAGGATGGAGGAATTGCTGTGTCCTCAAATAAATGTCCAGGTCAGGCAGAGAGAATCAACAAGCACCCAGGTACAGAGAACTCAGGTAGGAGAACATTCAGGTTTTAGGCATGAGCTGACATTTCAGAGCTTTGCTTGGCAGTCTCCCCTGAGCTCCAGCCTGGACATACAGGTCCCAAATCCCAACAGCAGCAGCAACTTCAAAGCACTAAATGCAGTAAATTCAATGTTTAATGAAACAACACAATCCAGGCGTTTGGCCAGCACAAAACACCAACCCCTGGCCCCAGAGGGACACAGACCTGGAGAGACCCTCATACCTGGTGGATCTGGAAGATGGACACCAGTGCTGCCTGCAGGTAGTCACTCTGCCTCTCCTTGGTGTAGAAGATGTCAATGGGATGCTGCCGGCCCTCCAGGTAGATGACAGGAGCTCCATTGAAGTACTGGGAGAACAGGTCAACATCCATCGTGGCTGACATGACAATCACCTTCAGGGGGAGCACAGCATGGGTCAGCACTGCAGCTTCCACCCAGCTGGACACCAACCAGCCAAAAGTCAGCTTCTGGGTCCTGAGAACCATGCTCAGAACAGCTCATAGGCTGTGAGAGAGTGATTTCCCCTCGTTAAAGCAGTCAGCTTTTCACCACAAGCAGAAAACAATGGTGTGACAGAATGGGCTGGTGGGTGGAATGAGACCATGCAAGGCCCCTCCAGCAAAGCCAAAGTGCTTTCACACAAATTCCTGACATGTCCACCCACCCCATGTGCAGTGCCCTACCTGGGAATTAACAAGTCCCACCAGCCAGAGCTCCTGCACCTGAAGTGATCCCAGCACTCTGTCTAGTCTAGAGCTCATACCCAAGGGGCTTTTGTAGAAAAAGGGATCATGGTGGTGACCAGATACCTTGTTCAGAGGTGTCATATCAGGCCCTCACATCATAAGCCAGACACCCTTAGCTATTGAGATTTAAAGTGACTTTTTAGGAACAGAAAAACGGTCAAGGCTGATGTTCCAAACCCTTGTGAAGGCCCCAGGAGATGCTCAGAGCCCCACCCCGCCCATTGCTGCCATCCTGGATGAACACACTTTCAGCGGCCGCAGGCCTCGCTCCTTTCGCTTCTTTTGAGCGGCTTTGACCACCCCGAAGAGCACATCAGTGTGGATGGTCCTCTCGTGGGCCTCGTCCAGGATGACCACGCTGTACTTGTGCAGCAGGGGGTCCCCGATGGCCTCGCGCAGCAGCATCCCGTCCGTCAGGAACCGCAGCCGCGTCTCGGCGCACGAGCAGTCATCGAAGCGCACGGTGTAGCCCACCTGGGGAGGAGCACGGGGTAGCCATGATATTTCATGAAAAACCCTCTGCTAGGATTTTTCCTGTCCTGAGGAGCTGAGAGCCTCAGGAAAGAAATGGAAACAAGAACTATCTGCTGCTGTGGAATGCAACAGGTGCATCTTCCAATGGTCCATGTGGATTGTTTTCAATCAGTGACCAACCACAGCCACCTGTGCCGAGGCTGTGAGCGGTCACAGGATTTTGTTATGCATTCATTTCTATTCTATTCTTGTTCTTTGTAGCCTTCTGATCATCTTCTCTCTCTGTTCTTTTAGTGTAGTTTTAATGTAGTATTTTAATATATTATATAACATAATAAATCAGCCTTCGGAGCAAAATGGAGTCAAGCCTCGTGTCCTCACACATGGAGTGTTCACCACAACAGCACAGCACAGCCTGGCATTGCCACTGAGCCAGCCTGGGGAGGAGCACAGCACAGACTGGCATTTCCCACTGCCATCGTGCCACCAGGAAGGGCTACAAAGCCCCTGGTCACTGCATTGGGCTGAGCCAACCAGAAGGGCATGGAAGCTCTGGAAAGCAGAGCACTTTATCTGTGAGCAGTTCCTCTTCCAAATGTAGCAAGTCACAAAAATGATACTCCCAACATCTCTAGTTGGCTTCTTCCTAACTAGAAGCTCATCATTAATGCCCCCAAGTTGTTTAGATGCCTTCCTTCCTTCCTTCCCTCCTTCCTTCCTTCCTTCCTTCCACCCTTCCTTCCACCCTTCCCTGAAATGATTCCAGGCTCTCCAAGGATTTTATGCAAAAGTCTTTCTCCTCTGCCTTTCTGCCCCAGACCTGCACTAATTCAGCTCTCTGCTCCCCTTGGCACTGATTTCTGACACAGGGAGCAATGGAAGAGAGCACTTTTTTTTTTTTTTTGTTTTATTAATGAATCAGTATTTTTGCAAATGGAACAACCCAGCTCAAGAGGTACAATGCCACGGAGACAGGCCATGCCCACCCTGTCATGGGACAGGTACAGAACCATTTTTGTCCATCCATTTAATTACAGCATCAGAGAATATCCTGAGCTGGAAGGAACTCGCAGGAATCATCCAGTCCAGACCCTGGCCCTGCACAGACACCCAAAATCCCCCCCTGTGCATCCCTGGAGCAGTGTCCAAACTCTCCTGGAGCTCTGGCAGCCTCGGGGCTGTGCCCATCCCTGGGGAGCCTGGGCAGTGCCCAGCACCCTCCAGGGGAAATATCTTTCCCTGATATCTAACCAAGACCTCCCCTGGCAGCTCCAGCTGTCCCTCAGGTCCTGTCCCTGGCCAGAGAGCAGAAATTGGAGCTGCCCCTCAGGAGGAAGCTGCAGACCTTGTGAGGTTTGGTCAAATTCACCTCTCCAGCTGAACAGACCAAGTCCTCTCAGCCATTTCTATTATGTGGCCCCTCCTGACCCCTCACCATCTTCATGCTGCTCCTTTGAGCACTGCCTGACAGCTTTTACACCCTTGTTACATTGTGGCACCCCAAACTAATAATGAAATTAAGACTATCACCCCCGTGGCTGGTCATTATCCTACCCCTGCAGCCTGACAGGGCCCCACCCCCAGAGCAGCCCCAAACCAAAAGGAATGTGTAGATCACCTACCAGCTTCCCCAGCTCTGTCCTCTTCTCCTCAGCCACCCTGGCAGCCAGGGTGACAGCTGCCACCCTGCGGGGCTGGGTCACAGCGATGACCCCGGGCTGGCCGATCCCCGCCTCGTACAGGTACTGAGGGAGCTGCGTGGTCTTCCCCGAGCCTGTTTCCCCTAAGGAATACCAAGGGAACAGGGTTTCCCACCACGCTTTTACGGCACTGTCATTTTTATGTTAACTTTTAGCGCTGTTTGAGGATGGGGAAGCTGCAGACAGAGAGGGAAGTCCCGGCACAAGGCAGGTCAGAGATGGCCCCCAACGCCCTCCTCCTGCTGCTGGGGCACTCCTCTGCAGAGCTCCAGCCACACTCCCGTGCAGAAACCTACTCCAGCCTCTCTGCAGGTGAAATGCCTGTGGTGTGACACTAACAGGAGTGACATACAAAGCATTTTTCATTTAATTACAATAATGCTGAGTCTTTAGAGTACCAGGTGGGAAGCTGTATATCTGCAGCTCCTGAAAGTCTAACAAAAAGTTTTTTTTTCGTTTGCGCTCACAGAAAGCATAATAAAATCAGTGAAAACCCCTTAAAAAAGTGAGGAGAGTCTTCAGAAGAGGAGAGCTCGGCCATGTGGCTTTGAAGGAACTCCAGGCAGACAGCGAAAGGAAAGGGAAATACTTTCTCCTTCTCCACAAAAACCAAGTCCCGAGTGCCAAAGCGCACAAGTCATTCCCCGCTCACCACACATCAGATTTACACCCGAACCGTTTCCGGGCGGCTGTCCCAGCCCAGCCCGCTCCGGGGCACAGCGGCGCTCGTCGCGGCACTCACCGATGAGCACGGCGGTGTCGAGGCGGCGCAGCCGGGCCAGCAGCGGCCCGCGGGCCCCGGAGATGGGCAGGCAGCGGCGCTGCACGTGTGCGGGCGGCGCGGCGCCCTGCGGCTGCGTGCCGGGGGGCGCCGCCTTGAACCGCTTGGCCGGAGGCCCGTCCCTGTCCTGAGCCATCGCCCCTCGCGGTCCCGGCCCGGCTGTCCCGGGACTGTCCCGGGGCTCCGGCCGCGCCGCGCTGCACGGGCTCCCTGGCGCCGCGATGACGCCACAGCGCGACGCTGCGCGGAGCATCTTGGGAGTTGTAGTCCTGCCGGTGCCGCCGCCATTTGCAGCCCTCTCAGGGCCCGGGAGCCTCGGAAAAATCGGGGACCCCAAAAGGCAGCAAATCGCAGCCAAAAAGGGCAAAGAGCCGGATTCAAGCAGCGTAGGGACATGTTCCCACTCAGGACTTGTCCCAGTAACAAGCTACGGAGGGGTTCTCAAACAGTGAACTAAAAATAAGGTTTTTATCCCATTCCTGCCTCATAACCTGCGCTGAAACAGCATTATCCAAAACACTTCAATTCTTGCTCTCTAGGAGCACTACAAGTCTGTTCTAGAAACAATCAAAACTGCCCCCCAAACCAGACCAAAAACCTGTAAAAGCCCTCAAAGCTCCCATAAGTTTTTATAGCCTTTAACAGATAAAAATGCAGACACAAACTACCTCACGCATTTTATCAGAATCTAACAGACTGCTTGTGGACAAAGCATTTCCCATGAGATCCCCACACATTTCTCTCCTGGAGTATAAATTAAAAAAACCCTAAAACCTGTAGCAAGTTTTTAAAAACAAAATCTGAGACTAAATGAGATAATTATAAGATATAGAGGATGGGTAAGCCCATCCCCTAAAACCTGTAGCAAGTTTTTAAAAACAAAATCTGAGACTAAATGAGATAATTATGTCATGGGTAAGCCCATGCTCTAAAATGCAGAATGAAGATGCAGCTTTCTCCTTTTATCTATTATGATATAACCAATAAAACCCCACCCAATACCTTCTATGGTGAGCTGAACTGAGCTCCAAATTCCAATGTGGCTGCTCAGAGATATTTATAATCAATGTGGCTTTAAGCCAAATGCCACTCAGTCTCACCGGCCTGTGCTGGACACAACAAACCTCATCCACAGAGCACGGGTTTCACATCCTGAGCAGACAATGCTGTGTCCTGCACTTCTGAGACACTTGTGGGAAAAGCTGCAGGTATCTCTGCCTCTTCAAGGACTTGCTTTTTCCAGCCCCTGCTGCCTCAAGACTACAGGATGATACAGAGGATTAACCAAAAAGGATCCACAAGACATTTTATTCAACTCATCATTTTTGAGTCCTCACTCCAGACAAGTTTCCTTCTCTAGTGCTGCAGGTCATCCAGTAACAGCAGAGGGCACGTGGGGGTGGAGTTTGCAGGCACACCTATTTAACCACCAGTCTGAAAACTGGGCACCTGAACACACAGTCCTTGGGGGGAAAAACCACCAAAATGTAGCCTCAGCCTGCAGAACATCCAAAAACCCAACTGGCAGAGTGAAAAGCTGCATGTTGTGTTCCCTGCAGCTCAAAGATGACTGGAGACAGCAGCACCTCAGATTAAACAACCTTTTGCCATTGAAATAGTGACTTAGCCTTTCAATCATCTTGCAGTTGTTTTATCCAAGAATAAAAAAAATTGAGTTAAATCCCAAAAAGTTGGGTTTGTCCCCTGCAAAGTTTCCCATAGAGTTTCATGTATCAAATAACTTGAAAAAAAATGCTTTAGAAATCACTTTAAACAAGTACTTGTGTGGCCTTGTTAACTGAAGTTAACAGGAAACAGTTTCCAGTTTTAAATTTTTGGCTCCGCTGGATTTAGATGTGTCCAGCACAGTGAGTTCCCTGCTCGGGAAGGGTGCTGGGAGTGCCTCGGGTGAGACTGCCATTCCATAAAGTGCTTGTGTTCCAAACCCTAGAGCTGTCAGAGTCCTCTCTGTGCTGGGAAGGAGAGTCCCCTGGGGCTGGAGCCAGGCCAGTCCCTCCCAGGGGTGCTGGGACAGGCCAGGCCCTGGTTATCCCCCCAGGCGCTGCCCCTCTCCCCAGGCAAAGCCCCCCGGCCGCTCCTCTGGCAAGGGGTTGTAGTTGGGGTCCTCCTCTGGCGTGTCAAAGATTGCTTTCCTGCAAAACACAAAGCATGGTTATCCTTCAGACACAGCTTTCACAGTGTCCTCCCTCAAGAACAGCTGGCCAGGCAGTGGGATTCATGCTCTCCACTTTGGAGCCAGCAGGAAGAAGACCCCAAATCAAGACTGATGAGGTTCATCTTCTCCTATTTATGTATAAATATTCTATGTATATTTATGTATAAATATTCTATGCCAGACATCTTCAAGACACTGTGAAAAACAAGATCAAGACAGCTCACATGCTGCAGTGTCCTCCCTCAAGAACAGCTTGAACAGTGGGATTCATGCTCTCCACTTTGGAGCCACCAGGAAGAAGATCCCAAATCAAGACTGATGAGGTTCATCTCCTATTTATGTATAAATATTCCATGTATATTTGTGTATAAATATTCTATGCCAGACACCTTCAATATAGTCTTGAGTGTATGAAAAACAAGATCAAGGCAGCTCACATGCTGCACAGTGTCCTCCCTCAAGAACAGCTGGCCAGGCAGTGGGATTCATGCTCTCCACTTTGGAGCCAGCAGGAAGAAGCCCCCAAATCAAGACTGATGAGGTTCATCTCCTATTTATGTATAAATATTCTATGCCAGACATCTTCAAGACACTGTGAAAAACAAGATCAAGACAGCTTACATGCTGCAGTGTCCTCCCTCAAGAACAGCTGGCCAGGCAGTGGGATTCATGCTCTCCACTTTGGAGCCAGCAGGAAGAAGCCCCCAAATCAAGACTGATGAGGGTCATCTTCTCCTATTTATGTATAAATATTCTATGTATATTTATGTATAAATATTCTATGCCAGACATCTTCAAGACACTGTGAAAAACAAGATCAAGACAGCTCACATGCTGCAGTGTCCTCCCTCAAGAACAGCTTGCCCAGGCAGTGGGATTCATGCTCTCCACTTTGGAGCCACCAGGAAGGAGATCCCAAATCAAGACTGATGAGGTTCATCCTCTGATATTTATGTACAAACATTCTATGCCAGACATCTTCAGGGCAGTCTTATGATTGTGTGGAAAACAACCATCAGAGGTGTTCTGGGAGAGCACCACAGGGGATTAGAGCACCCACACAAGAGGGAACTGAGTGGGAGCACCACTACCCAATAGTATGAACACTGAAGGACTTTTTTTCCCAAAATTGTCATGTGAGGATGACTTAGAGAAGGAAAAAAAAACATTACATGTCATATATAATACATATATGTAATATCTCAGCCACTGTTGACACTCAGCAGGGGACTCAGCTTTGGTGCTGTCAGCAAAGCCTGACAAGAGTTACCAGAGAACCAAAGGTAAAATCCTTTAGCTCTTCTCCCAGTTAAGTTGTTTCCCATTTGAATTCCAGCTCCTTGTTTGAACACGAGTTCCATAAAAAGCAAGAAGAGACACTCCCCCAACTCTGTCCCTGCTCAAATAATGTGACTGAATTGCAAACAGTTTCCAAACAAGCACTTTTTCCATGTCTTTTCCAAAGCAGACACCAATACTCACAGGACAGACGGTGTTCTCAGGAGCCTCCCACCACCAGGCTGATTGGGAAAGACATCCTCTAAGAAAAAATATATATGCCCAACAGCAATGCCTGGTATAGAAACAAAAGCCAAAAGGTAATTTTTCAGTAGTTCTCCTTTACAACTCTCAAGTGCTTTACACTAGAGTTTTCAGAAAAACAACACACATTGGTGCCTTCATAGAAAATTTCATTATATGGAAATACAAAACCTAAGGAAGAAAGCTAACAGTATATAAAAAGCTTAACTTATACTACAGGACATTAATATTGGGAAAACATCTTGTCATTATTAAAAATACTGATGTTTTGGCTCTATTAGAGTTGATAAAATAGTAATATAAACTATTTTAGCTTAGTAGACTGATGCTATGGCCAGATGACGCATCAGGGCTGATTCCAAGCAATAAAAAGCCAAAACATCAAAAGCTCTTTCCATCCTTATCACAGCACAAAACCTGCTACAATGGCTAGAAATCAGAACAGCCTAAAAACATAAATATAAAATAATAAATCTATCAGAAGAACTAACACCAAGCGTTAGTTAGCCCGTGGATTTGTCCCCATTTTCTCATCATGTAAAACAGGAGGAGGAACAGGTCCTCATGAGATTGCTGCCATTGCTCACCCAGGAGATCCACGATGATGGAGTTCCCCAAGAGCAGAGAAAAGCCCATCAGTACCCAGGGCAGAAACGGGGCCTGGAAGATGAGGAGCCCGAAGAAGTTCATGCGGACGTAGGGGTTCCTGCGGCTCCACACGTACACCAGCATGATGGTGAAGGCCTGCCCCAGGAACACCAGGTTCACAAACAGCCCAAAAAGCTGCCACGCCTCGTTAAGGAAGCTCTTGTGAGGTCAGGAATTTCACAGCTTAATTTGTAACCCTGTGTTTTCCACACAGCTGGGAACTCCACTTGCCCTGGTGTATGTCAAACTCCTGTTCATCAACCCAACAGCTGCAGCATGAATAATCTCAGTAAAGCAGAATTTAATTCTTCACAGACAACCTGAGCATGATCTCATCCCTGAACAGTCTGATAACCTCATTTCCACAATCAAGCAGAAAAAACCCTGAAAAACCAGCAACAATCCCAAAGCATTCAAAACCACCCCAACAAATATCAGTACTCCTTGTGCAACAAACTACATTAAGGTAACAGTAACAACATGGTTTCAGCTCTCCTTCACGCTTCTGTATGTTTACCAAAGGAGGTGGGAATTAAAACAGAAAGGATACAGTCATTAAAAGTCCTCCAAAAAGGAACATAAATACAAAATCTGCCGTGCGACCCCGGAAAGAGCCTTCCTCGAGCATGCGGCAGTAGCGGTATCTGAGGCCAAGGTCAGGAAAACTCCGTGGCAAGAGTTCAGAGACACATCCAAGCACAAAACGATGCAATTCTACAGCAGCTCAAAAGTGTTTTATCAATTTACTGCATCACTCAGCCCTTCCTGGATACTTCAGCACAGAGGGTGGCCCAGGAGACAAAAAAGTTACCTGGAATTTTCTCCTGCAGCACCAACCCGAAGGATGAGGCTGGCACAAATTCTTAACACCAAAAAAT